CCCTGGTGGTTATCTTCTACACTTGCTAAGAAGCATGATTCTCCCCAGGGTTTACATAAATCTCCTTTTTACGAGATAGTGTAATGGGCAGGACCATCATTTTGTCTTACTATGTGTATGTGTTTGATTGTATGTGCATGCAGAGTCTGTGGGGAACGAACAGGTCTGAAATGGCCTAGGGGCTCAGGACACTAGTCCATTCGGCCTTCCTCATGGAGGGACAGAAGATCGTTCACACACACACGCAATCATATGTAAAAAAAAATTCCTTTTTCCTAAAAAAAACATTCCTTGATTTGTGTGTGTCATCCTTGCACAGGGGCCTTGCTGATCTTCTCTGTATCGTTCCAATTTTAACGTATGTCGGGAAGGCCATGTATGCATACCAATATTTTCTCTCTTTCTTTTTATACTTCCTCCTGTCTCTACGTGAGCACCTTCAAGTTGTGCCAAATAGTCGATGCTTGGTTGTTTGGCGTGCCTGCAACACTCACTACCAGGGGGACTTCTTTGTTCGGGATATTCATCTGAACCAATGGTTGCTGGGGCCAATTATGGCAGCCTGAGTTGGACTTCTTTCATTTGACAATGTATGCATTGGGTGTTTCTTTGGCAAATATGACAGATGTTGATCGAAGTATTCCCCGGTCCCCGGGTTCTGACGTTTATGTGAACCAGCAGTGTGCAGTATTCTACTTTTTGAAAAGTTAAAAAAAGGAACTTGAAGCTTGCATTGCATTAATACAAAATCGACGGGAATTCCTTGACGTGCGAGTTTCAACCTGGAGTACTGGGGCCATTCATTTACGCAGCTTGGGTTTGTGCTGGAAACGGGGAGTCTGTACCGCAGTGGACCTGTGGAGGGATCTCGCTTATTTGGTTGAGGCCCGAAAGGTTTCGGACAAGCCCTGCCAATCGACAGGCTTTAGTGGGGGCCGAGAGTGAGTTGCTCTTCTGAACCCATCAGGTATCTATCCACAGAGATCGCAAAAAAAGGTACGAAAACAAGAAAAAAGAAGAAAAAAAGAAAAAAAGAAAAAGAAGGAAAAGAAAGGGCTGGCGGATCGGATCCTACTAGCTGTCCCGGCTCCATACAGAACAAAAGAGGGAGAAAAAAGGAAAAAGAAAAAAAGAAACAAAAAAAGGAAAAAAGAAAAAAGAAGAAAGAAAAAGGAGGAGGAAACATTCAGAAAGAAAGGCATAGCCTGAGGCCTGTGGCCCTGATTCCGCAAGCTCTCCCATATCCGTTTAGCGCATATACCCTGTATGCATGTGTGTGTGTGTGTGTGTGTGTGTGTGTGTGTGTGTGTGTGTGTGTGTGTGTGTGTGTGCCCCGCCCCTCTCCCTCTGGAGAACAGTTGGAACCGAGGGGGACGGTTGTCCAGAGAACAACCGGCCCCCCGACCCAGTTGTTCCCTGGATACCAATCACACACACAGACGCACCTACACAGACATCACCACAGCAGTTAGTCCATAATCCCATATACATTGGCTAGAGTCTCCCTCAGTACATGCACGGACAGACTGCCAGGCTGGTAGAGATGCGCATTGCGCAGGGCCTTCTTGACCACTCTCCAGCACGCCGCTGCAGAAAAGCCATTTTCCACCATGGCCTCCACTATCTTCGCGATCTCTCCCGCGGTGTCATCCGGATCGGAACAAATCATGAGAATCTGTGCGACCTGCGCCGTGATGACCTGCAGCGATTGCTTGACACTCCTGTTAGATTTGAACTTCACGAATCTGCACGGAGAGAAGCCCAAGCCAGCGCACTTATCAAACTTGGAGGTGATGTAGGTACCTTCGATCGGCGAGGTGATTGTGATGGACATGCTAAGGAAGTTGGCCACGTAGCCAATCCCCTCCTCGAGCACCACGGTATTCTCCTTTATCTCGATAAACCGGTCCGGATAGATCCAGCATGGATCGTTCGCATCCCTGTCCTCCGTCTTGCGCCGAAAGTTCCCGATGATGGCGTTGTTGATGGCCCCCAAATCATCTATGTATCTGAAGGTACTGTCGAAGCATGGGATGAGATGTGCATTCCCTGTGTCCACCAGCCTCATCATGGCATGAAATTTGTATTTGAAGAAGTATATGTCGCACCAGATCGGGGAACACGCAAGACCCATGGGGATGCCTTTCACCTGTCACCAGACGTAGTCGCCCATCCGCAGCACACTGTTGGTAATGCACCAGTCTGTGATCCAGTAGATGTCCGTTTCCTTGAAAAGTAGCGCCCCTTCCTCCTCCGGCTGCTCCGAGTCCACCCATGATGGCCAAGGCCTCCCGCCGTCCCCAAACCTGATCCGAATGGCGTGGTAGGAACTTCTCTCTCTCCTCACCTGCATAGCGCATTGCACATAGAACCTGATTGCGGCCGGCAGGCTGTCCTCTGAGTCGTCCGTTGGGATCGTCTCAAAGCATCTAGTAATGTCGGCGGTGAACACTGAGTAGATTCTCTTCGGTAGATTGGCGCAGCATTCCCCTACCGAAGCGATGGCCCACCATAGATTAGGACTGACACCATATTGCTCCTTTATCTCCGCGCTCCTTTCTTGGAAGAAGGTTTGTACCAGCGGAAGCAGGAACCTCAGAAGGCAGGCGCAGACTTCCGGTGCAGGAGAGATGATGGAATTCGCTGTGTTCGTGATCCACCTGAAGGCGCCCTTGTGTGCCTTCAGCACAGTCATGAGGTATGAGAGCGCGGCAGGTGCGACCGGAAGCGCCGCCGTAGCAGAGAGTTCCAATTGTATGCGCGAGATGACCGCCGCTGGGGGCATGTCGGTGCAGGCGAATTCAGGGCCTGATAACCTCTGGAAAGCAAGCTTTCGGATGAAGTTCTTGCACACAAATGCCGGTGTGTTGGGTGCTTTGTTTGTTGGACAGATGAGGAATCTGCCCGTGATAAAGTCCAACTCCCTCTTCACTGCAGGGTGCTCGAATGGTTCAGCTGTCGCATGCCTGTGTGCCTCCTTGTACCTGCTCATCTTTGCTTTTCCCTTCTTCATGATAATCCTCCTCAAAAACGATTTAGTGGACTCCGTGAGCGTCCTTAGCTCCATCACGCTTGCGAAGAGTTCGTCCAGAAAACGGTCCAATTCCGCGACAGCCTCCTCCACGTCCAGAGCCATCAGCGGGATATGGTTGAGACCCGTGTTAATAATTTCCTGCAATAGGGGATTATCCGTGATCGAGGAATCCAGGGTGATAACGTGCGTGCACCCCTCATTGCGGAGCAGTTCAATCGACCGGCTGCTGCGCATGTCCGAATACCTACGAGTTCTGCACGGGCATTGCTCACGGTCATAACTGTCCATCCACTGCGAAAGGTCGAACTCGCAGAAGACCTCAGCTGGTCTGCAAAGCTTGGCAGCGATGTTAGCGTTGTATGTTCACCTGATTCTGGTGCGTTGCAGCCAGCTTGCAGTGTCGTCCCACACTATCCCGCTGAGGACATCGTTTACCAGTCTCGTGACGGAAAGCGGTTCCATGACTCGGCTAGTGTACCTCATATGCAGAAAATCGTCGCATTCAAACTTCTCCCTCCTCCATGTCCTTCTGCCATTGGGCGCGGTGACCATTTGCCCAGGAGCGTACACCCATCTGTTCAGATCCTGCGCTTACAGGTACAAGACGGGAGAGTGTTGGGAGAAAAGGAACCACGGGAAGGGGGTTAAAAAAACACCAAAGATCATAATCACACCAAGAAGGGACGAGAAAAGGAAGACAGGAGGAACCATAGATGGAAAGAAAGAAGGAAAAGGAGAAGAGGAAGGCAGAGGGGGAGGGGGTGCAATATCGTGGAAGAGAACAGAGGTGCCGACCAGCTCAGGTTAGGCCCTCGTGGGACGCTTTCTGAAGCTGGCAGTCACCCCCCTGCCTCCACCCCTCCCACCCGCGTACTTCTTTCCCTTTCTTCCGTGCTGCGTAATCGTAGAGTGTGCGGATGTCTCTGGCGAGATGTGAATGGCGGGCGGAGGGGTGAGCCCTCTGATGTCGACCAACGGGTGCAGGGAGGGGAGTGGGGAGGTCATGACCGGGCGCCAGGTTTGCGCAAACTGGGGTGGTTGTTGTGCCCCGGTTAGTATGGGAATAATGGGGGGGTTTCCGGTCGGGAGGCACTAGCTTGTTGTGCTGCACCAGTGGCCATCATCGGGGGGTTAGGGTGGAAAGGGATCGGAGGAGGGGGAGGAGGGGGAGGAGGGGGAGTGGGGGGAGGAGCGCCCTCCGCAGGTGGGGCGAGCTGAAAATTGAGCGTAGTTTGGCCTTGCACCTGAGGAGTGCGGTTCCTTTTTCGTGCCACAGCGCGTGGAGAGCTGAGTGGAACCCTCGTTGGCTTCTCAGGAATCCTGGTGGGAAGCATGATGCGGGCAAGCGCTGCGGGAATGGGATAACTCCTGAGTCGATCCTCCTTTAGAACGGTTTACGCATCCAAGGTCGCGTCCTCTTTTAGTGTCTTAGCGATGTTCAATATCAGATCCCTGAGGAAATGGAAACTGATGGCCGCAAGAACTCCCTCCCTCCATGTGGTGCGGAGGTAGTGGATGAGCATTGACGTCCGGATCTTGATCGAGGACATGGTCGGAAAAAGGATATCCGGATGCGCCAATAGGTACCATATCGCATGATCGAACCAGAGAGGGGTATCCCCACAATCCTTATTCCTTTCCTTTTTGCATTTACATTTCAAATAGGGTCTACCGACGCTCCATACCTTTCTCAGGGTCCTTAGGTCGGGCTTACCTTCCTGCCTGATGCCCTTCTGCCACATGCCAGAGTTTGTCTCGCCGCACTTGTCAGGATCCAGTTCGTGCATGCGGGGAAGTTTCAGGTCCTGGGGATCCAAGGGAGTAACTCGCCCGCAGTACTTCAACTTGCCCTTCAGAATCTGTGCCCTAGAGTGCCTAACTTGCTCATTCGTGACGTTCCCGAGGAACTGAAGTGCACGAATGGAGATGGGTGCGAGATGATTAAAAGTATCCATCTTCCAAATGGCGTGCTTAAAACCCGTAGATGTGTGCTCGACCCAGTATGCTGAAGCGAAAGGTGCAAAAGCAGTGTACTGGTCACGTTCGATGGCATCACCTCCCGCCTTACTAGATGCAGGTGGGGAGTCGCGGGTGGAGGCTTTTATGGCGGCTATCACATGTTCCATCTCCATTCTTTCTTCCTCCTCAATCGCGAGGTCATCACAGTGTGCCGACGGGGTGCCCTGAGCGGACGGGGGGCGATCCACTGCGGCGTCGGGAATGCGATCCTCCAGGTGGGAGTCGTCCAACCCCCAGATTTTGAGGAAGATCTGTTCGATCTTTGCGGTTTTACCCCTGAGTTCCGCGCATTCCTTCGTATACTCCTGTTTCTTCAGTTCAAGTTTTTCGCACAGAGCTCCTAATTCACCATCGAAATCGTCCTTACTACGTTCCCAAGCACCTACGAGGACGGCGAGGTCACTGAAGCCGATCATTTCGAAAAAATGGGGGTAGTGACCGGAGTCCCATTTTTCTTTTATTGCGTTGATGACTCCAGGGTTGACACAAGCGAACAAGGCCTGCGTGGGTCTGGCGGGATGGGCACAGTGCTCGATCCACGGGTATCGGTGTACAATCTCGTTCCACCATCCCCCTGGGAAGGCTTCCTTGGGGGGTGGCAGCACCTGCGGGAAGAGCATCGTAATACGAGAAGGTGTATGCAGAGAAGGGTCATGGGGGCGAGATTCAAAACACAATGATAGCAGGAATAGGAGGATAAGGGAAAGGAGAGCGCGTCGAAGGGAAGAAAGGACTAGGGAAGGAGAGGGGGGTGGAGTTATGGGACGAGGGGAGAAACAGGAAAACAAGGACAGGAGCAAAATAGGGTCAGATAGGCTCGCAACAGTCTTACTGTATAGGATCGGGTAAAAAAATAGGACAGATACTGCAATCACCCCAAAGCTCGTCCGGTTGATGGGTTTTCTACCTTCATTCTGCCCTCGGCAATATTCCAGCCGCCACTCCCGCCGGCGTTCAGGCGACTTAGGCGTACCCCAATGGCTTCATGCATCACTCGAATCCACGCAAACGGCAAACACAAGTTGCCGATAAAAGAGAGACCACAGTATGGTCAGGGGGATCGCCCCCCAACAACGCTCGAGGAAGCTCGTCCTCCTGGGTGTGTTGCATGTGTGTGTCACATGGATTTCGTGCGAGCACAACACCTTATGCTCGTGCATACTCCGACTACACCGGTCGGCATACTGCGGGCAAAAAACAAGGCGCGGAGGCGAAAAACGCAGCGAGGTAAAACCGTGTCGTACACCCTTTTGCGGTAAGGGTGGAGAAGGCCGTTTTGCCGTGCGGATATGCAGACACCAATCAAGGCGGGGGGTGACGGAGGCAGAGGCCTATTTCTCGATGTGAAAAAAGTAAATAATAAATAAAACCAGAAACAATCCATAATGAATATTGAGAAAAGGTTCAAGGTGCGATGTTTTCAAAAGAGAGATACAAAAAACTCAATCATACATGGCACGATCACAGTACAGAACACACGTTGCTGACGAAGAGTGGGTGAGGGCCAATTTCAGTCGTGAATAAGCGTGCAAAGATTCGTCCATCATAACACTTTTTGATAGCAGAAATGATTGAAGACCTCATACACAGAATCATTCATTACGGAGGAAGACCCAGAATACAATGAACGCGCAAAAAAGATTCTGCCCGAAAGATCAAACAGAGAGAAGCGAAGATTGGATAGTAACACTCAAAGCACATTTGCAAAAGATTGACAAAGGCAACCACTCAGAAGGCAATGTAATACCAACAGAATCCTTATGAAAAATTGCGATCATAGATCCGAAAAAAACAACCAACCTCCTCCACACCATTGCCAGTATCCAAAAGAGTAATCGTGCTAAAATGCTATCATAGGGGGAATCAGAGTGCGATGACAGAGGGAAAAAGGTGTGGGGTGATGGGGGTTGATGGCTGTCTCTTATACACATCTAGATGTGTATAAGAGACAGGGGCAAGGGGGGCAGGGATCGTACTGAGGGGGAGAGGGGAGGGAGTAGATGAAGTAGAGAAAGGAGAGGAAGGATAGGAAAGAGATAAACGCTAAAAAAACGTGCGAAGCCGCTCCCGTCGCCATCTTGGTTTCCATTAGTAGCCTCGCTCCTAGCTATGCGCACTGATCGGTCCGTAGGCAGCGATTAGCGAAAAGAGCAAGAAACAACAGCCCGMAAGAGGAAGAGAGACAAAGCATACGGTATAGGCAACGAGCGCAGCGAAACACTTAGTCGAAGTGCTTAGGAACACTCTCTGCGAGAGGCAGGCGGCAAACAGCAAACTCGCTATGGCGAGGTTTGGCAGCAGCACAAGCAGCAGCAGTAAGGCCAGATATGCGTTCAGCGCAGGCGGCAAGGAACAGAGGCAGGTCATTGCGGTCGCGGCGGGGCATGTCGCATCGCTCTGCATTGCGTAAGGCTTCAGCGAGGTCGGGGAGGCAAAAAGGGAGGGTCTCACGCAAGGAGCGTTACCACTTCCTCGTCCTCACGCTGCTCCTCCTCCTGGTCCCACTTGGCGAAGAAGTCCATGTCGTTACCCGCCTTACGAAATTCCCGCAAACGCCGGATCGTATCGAGTCCCTACTGTTGCCTGAGTCGCTAATCGCCCGATGGTTCGATGAATAGCAAACCTGGTGTCTAATCCTAATATAGTACTTGTCCCTCCCCCGTATAGTACCCTTCCAGTGTACGCTACCTACACCGTTCGTTCGTTTCACGCTTTAATCCGTCGGTCGAAGAGGAGGATGCAACTAAACAAGGGGACAAAAAGAAAACCACAGAAAAAGAAAAAAGAAAAAAGAAAAAAGAAAAAAAGAAAAAAGAAAAGAAAGAAAAAAGAAGAAAAAAAGGAAAAAAGAAGAAAAGAACCGGAAAAAAGAAAGCAAAAAGGACCTGGCGTGGGGGTCTGTACCGCAGTGGACCTGTGGAGGGATCTTGCTTATTTGGTTGAGGCCTGAAAGGTTTCGGATAAGCCCTGCCAATCGACAGGCTTTAGTGGGGGCCGAGAGTGAGTTGCTCTTCTGAACCCATCAGGTATCTATCCACAGAGATCGCAAAAAAAGGT